CCAGTGCCTAAAGGGGCCTCAGGAAACCTGGAGAGGGGCTTTGGACAAGGGCCTGTAGGGACAGGACAAGGGGAATGGCTTTAACCTGCCAGAACAGGGGAGATTGAGATGAGCTCTTAGACAGAAGCTCTTCCCTGTGAGGGTGCTGAGGCGCTGGCACAGGGTGGCCAGAGAAGCTGTGGCTGCCCCATCCCTGGCAGTGTTCAAGGCCAGGTTGGACACAGGGGCTTTGAGCACCAGGGGTTGGAGCTGGATGAGCTTTAAGGTCCCTTCCAATACAAACCAGGCTGGGAATCTGTGATATGATGTGATCCCCATTTTCAGCATCATTGTATGTGCTTAGGCCCTACACAGTGGCTAGAAAGGGAAAAACAACTGATGAGACAAAACCAAGTATTACCATGTCGGTGTCAAGGAGGTGACTTCTCTCTAACCCTATCACACATGCCACCCTTAGGGAGGCCCATCACCACATCTCCCCAGCTTCAAGGAAGGAGCCAGATGGGGTTTTGAGTTGGGCTGGGGGGAGCAGCACATCCTCAGGGCAGTGGCAGACCCCACTGTTGCTTTCTGTACATCAAAGCCAGAGCATCCTCCCTGGAGACACACATCACCCCATGGCCTTTACCAACTTGGGGCAGAGAAAGCATAGGGCTGGGTGCCAGCATGGATGGATATAGCTGAGGGTCCCCACTGGTCTCATATTGAGTGGCCCAGGGAGGGAGGAATGCCTTTGCGGTGGCCCCCCAGAGGAATGCCAGGTATGCAGGGAGCAGAGGTCAGGCACGGTGAGGGGCAGCTGTGAAAGGGAAAGATAAAGGCAATAAATCAGGCTGTGGGAAGGGGAGGAGGGCACAAGTGCACAGAGCTGCAGGAGGATGGTACCAGGCAGCCCCCCCCCAGCACAGGGAAGGGGGGTATGAAGGCTTACCTGTGCCACAGACCAGCCTGGGGATGGGGTGATGGAGGGGGAAAGGAAGAAAAAAGCATCCATGGTGGGGAAAGTGGTTTTCCTGTGCTAAAACAAAACAAATCAAAAGGAAAATACATGAAGACAAAACCCCAGAAGCTATGGGTTTGGTACTGATGGAAAGAGCCCTCAGAATAGAGGTTTGCCCTCAGTTTGAGTCTGTTTTCTATTGTTCCCATAATGGGAGATGGCAGCCTGCATTCACTGCTGGAGCAGAAGACACATAACTCTCCCTGGAGAAAGTTACAAAGGGCTATGAAGTCTTTAAAACCCTCTATTTATTTTCTTCTGATACAGGAGGCTTCCCTTAGGCTCAAACCTCCATTGTGCAAGCATTCATTTCTTGCGGAATCCAGCTCTGGAATCCATTCCTTGTGGCTCCAGGTATGTGAGACTACTAAACAGTGCCTTAGAGATTGGATGGACATCTTGGCAACTTCGCTAGTGACCTGCACCCCTCTCTTGAGCCCTCCAGGTGAAAGCGGGTATCCAGACACGTGGCTCTGGGACACAGGAGTAGTCAGGGAGCTCTGCTTGCTTACCCAGAAAGCAGAATAAGCCCCCAGAGACCATCCATGCTGGTCCACATCCATTCTGTGTAAGGACAAGAGCTATAATAAACCCACACCAGATGCTTTGGATCTCATCCCACCTGGTACGGTCAGAGCTGATGAACCCTGGAAGAGATGATACCAATATAATCTCAGCTTCTACAGCAAGATAAGAGAACCCAGGCCCAGTGCAAACCAAGAAACAAACATTAGCCTGCCTATCTGTAGAGAAGCGGATGGGAAACAGTGACCTGTGTAGTCTCATGGCTTTTAGCTTGGTTTCTTAAGAAGCCCCCAGCCATCCACCATCCCAGTGCTGGGGAACCTCTGAGCCCTTGGCCGGGCTCCTTTGGCAGAGGAGCTGAAGTCTCAGTGACACGAGGCGCCCACGAGCCTTGCGAAAATAGGTGACTTGCTGTAGAAGAAAGCAAAGGGCTATAAATATCCTGAGTGAGGGAAGGATCCATCACTCACTCAGCTCTCATTATGCATCAGAGAAAGTTCTTCTAAAAACCCCTGCCACAAAGAAAGGCCCAGGCATGAATCATGCCTTATGAGCTAGCAAAGAGTCCAATCACAGTGGTGGAATCCTAATGGACCCAGACATCTTCTGGGCCTCTGCTCGAAACCATGTATTCATGCTCATTTCCTGGCCTGGGACCATGCAGTGGGCACCCTGACCCTTGGGAAAGATCTCCTGAGGGCAGAGGACCATCTGTTGGACAAGAGATAACATCTCCCTTTGAAGATGCTGCCCACAAAGGGCTTCTCCCTCTAAAAAGACTGAACAGTAGCAAGTACCCAGGCTGTCTGCCATCCACAGCCTTGAATACACTCCCTAAAAGGTGTTTAGAAATGGGGTTAAGAATGGATAAAATAGAAGAAAGAGGAATTGGCATCACAAGCCCATCTCCTTTCTTGATACTGAGTACCCTCTTTTCCCCTTGGGCTGGATTCAAGCCCAAGGACTGGACCCTATGGGTAAGGATAACAACTGCAAGTCCCTGGGCCAGAGGCTGGAAGGACAACACCAACTCCCTGTTCAAAGCCCACTCCCACAGAGCAGGCTGCCTGCCAGCCTTTGTGAGCTGTTAAACAGAACATTCTGGATGCTGTGCTCTGGGTTAGCGATAATTTAGCAGGCTAAAAGAAACTCTTACACCCTTTTCAGTGAATACAGTGAAATCAAGTGAGATGCATTGGGGCAGAAGTGGTGTGTGATGAAGAGGAGAAAAGGAGCAGTGAAAAGTTAAAGTTTGAAGGCTGTGGGGATAAAACCAGTTCTTCACTGTCCAGGATCATAGAGAGGGCTGGATACTGATACAACACAGATGCCTAGAACAACCTAAATAGCCTAGATAACCTCTAATCTGGGCTATGGCATGTCCATCCATCACTGAACTGGAGACATGGAGCCTGCTATGACCTAATTCAAGCCCACACACTGGATCAGCAGCTCTGCACTACAGATCCCAGGGTTGCTCATGGTCAAGGTCTTTGAATCTGTCACAGGGCTTGGAGCAACATGCTCTAGTGGAGGGACCCATGGCAAGGGGTTGGAACTGGATGAGCTCTAAGGTCCCATCCAACCCAAACCAGGCAGTTCCAAGAGGTCAGGCACAGGCTGTGGAGGGGTGGGTTTTGATGAATTTGTTCCACCTGATGAGCTCACCTCTTGGCAGGACAAACCTGCAGATGACAGGAAGCTTTGTGCCTCCTTTTTCAGTTTCTCCCATCCATGCCTCCAGCAATGATGCTCAGTCTTTTGCTCGAGGTAGGAGCAATGGCTTTCCCAAGTCTCTCCTGCTGTTTTTCAGTTTCTGATGTTCTTATCTGTTCTTTCACTTCCCCAAAGCCCTGCGAGTGCTGCAGCCAAGTCACCTCTAAAGTATGAGCCCTCATTCACCAACAGGTCAAACCATCCCCCAGCGTAATCTCGGTAGTGAACAGTTAAAGCCAAAGCTGAAGCCCCACATGTCCCCTCCCCAGGAATTCCTGAGGGTGGGTGCCTTGGGAAAGGAGGGCAGCTCTGCTGAGACAACAGGGGAGATGGATGGAAAGGATAAAATGGATCAGGAGCCTATTTGTGGGCTCTTTGTTGTCTCCAAGAAGCATTTCTTGTGATGAGAGAATCACATCACACAACAGGCACCCACAGGAAGCTACAGGAGCCAGCAAGCTCCGTTTCAGTCATCACTCCTCCCAAAAGCAACAGCTTCCAGCACTGGAAGCTTTGAACTGGGCTCCCCTCATAAATCACTGTGCTGACACTCAGGGATAAGCAGTTCCCAGGTTGGCATGTTAGAAGCGTGTTCAAACTTCATCCCACACCATTCCTCAGATGGAGCCCTCAGAGCTTCTGTCCCTGACAGCCCAGCAGCCCTGCTCCACTAGAACCCATCAGCATGCACTGCAAACATGCACATTAGCCTGATGCCCTGATGCTCTGAGACACTTGCCTTGCTCACAGCAGGCCACAGCACCTAGTTTCCTCTCTTAGATTAGTCATTCTTCCCAAATTTCCTTCTTTTGTATACAGGTTCCCTCTGTTTCCTGCTACAGGCTTCATTTTCTCTGCTCTATAGGCACGTGGAAGTGTTTGTGCTGTCAGAGAGACCATCTCATCTGTTCAGCTATTTTTACCCCTGCTGCAATAGCATCTTAAGAACTGTTTTTCCAGAATACTCTCTGGAGGTCAGGAAGGGAAAGAAATCATTTCTGGTACACTCAAATGGATAGAAGGCAATTTCCTACACAACAGGAGCCCATAATCATGCTGAAGTCTTTCAATCCTGATACTTCAGTTGGAAGGAAATCAGAGGCATGCTCTTTAAGCAGTGCCTTCAGCATAACATCCATGTTCACACCAAGCCTGGGTGCTGAAGGTGCCAGTCCACTGGGAGCATTTTGGGGGAGCTACTGAGAAGTAAAAGCTTTTGGTTTCTTTCCAGAACAACTCAGCCTCATCTGAGCATTGCCCCCTGAGCTGCTCTTTCTGTCAGCACACCCAGCCCTGGCACCTGGAAACACGGGAAGATCAAGCCTCTGCAAACAGGGATTTGTTTGGAAAAGGATAATAAAGATATTTCTGGGCTTGGCTCATTCCTCATGACTGCACCAGGGAGTCAGGTTCCCTCTTGCTGCTTCTAGAAGGCAGCGTGGCCTTGCCCACCAGCCTGGTATGTGCTGAGTGTCCTTCGTACACAACTACAGGCAGGCACACGCAGGCACTGCCTCGGGAACACTGCTCCCAGTCAGGGAATGGCTGCTGTGACCACGCTCTGCAAAGGAAATGGCTTCTCTTTTGCCAGCTGCTTTACCCTGGCTCCCACCACTGGGGCTGGTGCAAGCTGGCACTCATCTGGTCCCAGCAAGCCAACCTCCTGCTTACACTGCACATGGGTGCCACAAGGATCAGCCTACACCTGGTGGGTAATTACACAGGGTGCAAGTCTAAGCATCCTTCGGAATTGCCTCTGTGGACACATGTAGCGCGATGTTGTATTGAGCCAAAATGCATTCTTTTCATTACATTAAGCCGAAAAATATCCTTACATTTATTCCTGAGTTAAGAACATTCCCTTTCATCTGGAAAGCACATCTAGATCACCTGCTCTGCAGTCAAGACATAGGAGAAAAAGGGAGAAAATATGGAGTTGCTTTGGACCAGAAGAGCGTTTTCAGTGTATCATTGATGCTATGTAGCATTTGTGGGACACATCTGAGTGTGCCTTAAACACCCCAAGCTTTCAAAATGGTGTATTCTTCCACAGAGTTGCTGGATTTGGGGCCTTTGGCAGATGTCTTATTTAGAAAGCTTCTTTAAACCACGAGGTTTAAAACTGAGTCTTTTGTCCCCAAGTCTGCAAACACCCTGAGGCTGTTGGTTCAGTCAGATACATCCAGCATTCAGTGGTCAATGGCCCTCAGTCATCATTGGTGCTGCTGCTGCTGTCAGAACTGGTGGCACTTTGTGCTCCACCTGCAGCTTCTTCTTGGCTCAAGTCCTCAGTTCCCAGTGAGCCACTGCTCCCTTGTCAATGGTCTTGTCAACTTTGATGCCATCGATGTCTCCCCTGACTCTCCCTCCTCGCACACAGGGCACATCACAGTCAGGTCTGAACTTGTACCAGCCGCAGCTTTGCTCCTGGCAGTGAAGCAAGAAGTTGACATCTCCCTCTGCTTCACAACGAAGCATCCTTCACAACGCTGAGCTGCACAACTCCCTGGGGTGGCTGCACTGTGAGAGGTGCTGGCAGCCAGCTTGGCCCCAGGCATGGCCTGGGAAAGCAGGTGGCTAAAGTGCTGCCCTTCAGCCCTGGGAAATACATGTATTTACAATCATCATTAGAATCATAGAATCCCTGAAATTCCCCTGTTTCAGTTTGAACCCATCACCCCTTGTCCTATCACTACCCTTCCTCGCTGGCATCCAATTCTCAGGCTCTCAAAACTTGCTGGCTTGGCTGCTCCTCCTGGCTCTGTGCTGGACTGGAGCTGCTCACAGCTTGGGAGCTGAAGGACAAGTCTAGGTGGAAATCACCTCCCCCGACAGCCCTGTTTAATGCAAAGTCAATGTCAGTGTGGGCATGACTCTGCTTCTGAGATGCAGTGGAGGTGTTTGACCACAGCCATCAGCTCCTTGCTTGCTCTTTGTTGTGTTTTAATGGCATATCACCAACAGTTGTCTAACCCACCATCCAGAGACCTGACCAGCTTCCCTAGGGCTCTTTCCTTTGTGTTGTCACTGTGAGGGGCCTACAATGGATATCTTCCTCCCATCAGGTCCATACCCCGATCCCAAAACCTTCTGGAGCCACACCAGAGCTGAATCTGGGTTCTCACACATGCACTACCATGTATAGCTCTGCATGGCAAACCCAATCTACTTTAAGGCCACAGTTATGTGTTAATCCTCCTCTGGCCTCTTCCCTATCAAGGCATCATCTAAACTATTCCACAGCCCTGCTGTTGACTTTGATCATTTATTCACAGGCTGGACAGATTCTCTCCGTTATGAATTACAGGGCTCTAATTGGATTGAGAGCCAGGCCTGCACCTTCCCTTGTAATTTAGCTTTAATTAATGCCCATTCATTATTAACTGTTATCAGCCAGGCTTAATATCAGCTGGTTATTACCCAGAGACCAGCACAGATTGTTTTCATCTCCATTATTACCCATTTCAATAATGTCTCCCTCCCCTGTCGACAGATGCACACAGACCGTGTGTGTCAGCATAAAGGATGGCTGTTAAGCAACAACGGGTCTTTCAGAGCTGCCAAAGTCAAAGGGAAGTCTCCCTGTGTCTCTAGGTCAGTGCCCAAGGCAGTGTGAAAAGGAACAATGCCCCTGGATTCCTACAGGAGATAGACACTTCACCTTTTGCTTCTCACTGAGGCACAGAACCTGGCATTGAAAGTGGGAATGCGCTGTTCTGGAGCTATTTTGAAAGAATGGGGGCATTTTCCTGTTCTTTTTCTAGTTTCCATTTTCTCATTTCTGGCTTGAAGGAGAAAAAAAAAAAAGAACAGAAAAAGAAACTTTTCCTTCCTCTTCCCTTTTATCACATTCCCCCCAAAAATAGCAGCAGTAAAAGTACCACAAAGCAAACCCAAGAAAACAGCAATCCAAGTACTCGGGAGAGGGCTTCAGAGCCTGGTTAAAAATAGAGAGCTGAAGGAGAAAGAAGAATGCTTTGCCTCCAACCTGCATCCACTTTCCATCCTGCAGAACCACTCCTGAAAGTCCTCCAGCAAAGCCAGAGGCTTTGAAGCCAATGCAGCCATGCTTCCAGGCTACTCCTGCTCCTCTGACTTCCCCTGCAAGCAGTGTGTTGAAAGCACTTCTGTCACATCCAGGAGATGGATGGAGACCGGGCAGGCACAGGTAGGAGTCAAACTGGAGCATCCACTGAAATCATGTTATGGTGACAAGGGACATCCCAGACACAGGCTGCTGCCTTGTGGCAGACGGAAAGGAGGGAGAAGTTTTGGGTGACGAATCATCTCATCTCCACATTGCCCTGGAACTGTTACCCTGAGCTGAGTGCATCCTCCATCTCTTCCCTGCAAAGACTTCATTTGGTTTAATTACTCTCATTTGGAAGTCAATTCAGATTGGCTTTCCTGAAAATGCCTGCCTAGAGCAGCCCTGGAGGAACCTAAAACCAAATGCAATTGGTTTCAGTTGCATATCAGCTCCCTCAGGCTTGACAGGAACAGGGCAAATGGGTCAACAAAGCACTTAAGAAGATGCTTTCCTAACTTGCTTTTTACTCAGGCATTCAGCACTGTCAACTTCCGAGCCCTCAAGGCTGGAAAGAATCCTACCCAAGGAAGAAACAAGTAGTAGAGGAGGAGCCTGACCTGTTTGTCAGGAGGGTGATGGGTAGAGGAGAGTGTCCCTGCATGTGCACATCTCCAGGCAGTGGGTCCCACAGCTCCTCACCATGGACCAATGCAGCTGGTGACCAGGCAAGGTGGAGCAATGTCTATGGTCACTGCTGTGATTTTCCAAGCTTGTCAGAATCACATGGCAAGAACCAAATATTGGATGCTGCCAGTCCCAAAGGTGTTTTGTTAGCCAGGATGCAGCCTGGCTGATGGCCCAGCATGTCTGCACCCATGGGCCACCAAAGCAAGAGCTGAGTGTGGCCGCACCAGTTGATGTGGGGACATGTGGAAGGCTTTACTTCAGCTTTGCTCCGTGGTGGGCAGCATTCAATGGTGCAGGGGCAAGGTTTGGAAAGGAAGAGCACCTTTTCTAGCACTCACTATTCAGAGCAAAAGGCTGATATTACAGTGGGAAGAAGCATCAAGAGCATGTCTCCTCTGCTGCTCCCCCTTCCCCCAGTTCTTTCAGAGCAGGAGCAGTGACTGCCGTGATCTCTGGCTCTCCCATCATCAGGTTTCAGCCACTTCTAAGCCAGACTCCAAAAATCAACTCTGTATGGCCTCATCTGTGACCCAGAAACGAAGAGCAGAGCAGAGTTCACATCACAGATTTCCCTCCTGACAGCAGCCCTTGTAACCAGCTGATAACCAGAACCAAAGGGCTTGATATGGTGCTGTTCTCCAGCGCCTGGGACTGATACCCTGCCCTGCAGGAAACAGATAGCCAGTGTGGATCCGAGCATCACTTTGGTTTGCTGAAAGCACTCCTGGCTGCTGTGTCCAAGTCCTCTGCTGGCACAAATGGATGTATCCTGACAGCATTCCTGTAAAGCAGGAACTCTGCAGCAGCATTCTGTGGCCTTTCTTTCCCGTTTAGATGAGGGGAAAAGAGCTGTGGTTTGCATTTGCTGACCTTTCCATGCAACAAAGCATATGTGGTCCCTGACCATGATGGTGCTTCTGGTACAACAGCAGGACTGGAGCCTGGGGATGAGCAGAGAATCACATAATGGTTTGTGTTGGAAGGGACCTTGAGCTCATCAGGTTCCAACCCCTGTGCCACGGGCAGGGACACCTTCCACTAGAGCAGGGTGCTCCAAGCCCCTGTGTCCAACCTGGCCTTGAACACTGCCAGGGATGGGGCAGCCACAGCTTCTCTGGGCACCCTGTGCCAGTGCCTCAGCACCCTTACAGAGAAGAACTTCTTCCTTATATCTAACCTGAACTTCCCCCGTTTCAGTCTGAACTTACCACCCCCTGTCCTATCACTACAGTCATGGATGAAGAGTCCCCCTCTACATCCTTGTAGCCCCCTTCAGACACTGGAAGCTCCTCTGACATCTCCACACAGCTTCTCTTCTCCAGGCTGAACAGCCCCAATGTTCTCACTGACAAGGCAACCGTGGGGAGCTGGAAAGGTGCCTCAGGGCACTACAAAACCTTCTCCCACGCTTCTCCAGGAGCAGCATGCCCAAGGCTGGATTTCTCACATCGCCAGCCTGCACCCAGAAGAGGCACATATGGCATCCAACACTGAGGAAGGGTGGTTGGAAGGTGCCACAGAGCCATCCTGAAGGGAGGCTCCTTGCTGGGTGAGTAGCACTGTCCCAACCCTTGCCAGGACCTGCTGCTCCTGGCACGGTGCCACCTCAGAGAAACCATCCAGCACAGCTCCTGCTCTAATGAATCAGGGGAATCTCTAGCCAGGATTAAAAACAAAGACTGGACCTGCTGGCAAACCCAGGGCATGGGCTGTAATGCTGGTACCCCCCCAGCCTGCTGCAGGAGGAGATACTGATGCTGTACATTCCACAGCGTGGCATCTCTCGGTGCTGGTCCTAGTGCCCCAGGTAAATCCAGCACAAAGTCCTTCAGGCTGGGGAAGAGAAGGGCTGGGGGCATCCTCCTGCAAGGCTGGAATTCATGCTTTTGTTCTCACTCCATTTGCTGTTAATTGCTTCTGGCCACCAGCAGTACCAGTGTAAAGCAGCATCGGCACAAGGCCATGCGGCTGGGAGAAGCTCAGAGCAAGCAAAGGCAGCTTGCAAAACAGGCATTCCTCTGCTAACAGTGGTGTTTCTCATTGCTCCCAGCCCTTCCCAGAGCCTCCCTCAAGTCCAAGGGTCCACAAAGCCGACTGGGTTTGGGATATGGAGACACCAATCTGACCCTGTATCAGAGACAGGGCAAAAAAGGCAAGGACAGCAACAAATGAATAGCAACCCCCAGCTATTCCAACACAAAGGCATGCCATCATGAAGATGTTGCCCTCCAACCTCTCGGATCCTCTTCTCCAAGGCAGGTGGTGTTTTGTATTCCGCTTCCTCCAGCATCCCAATTCCTGCCCTAATGCAGGGAGAGCTCCTGAAATAGCTGCTTCTAGCCACTTTCTTTTGGATGCAAATCATTGGTATTCTGCAAGAAGAGCTCTCACTTGGAGAGCTATCCTGCCAGACCTGTTCCAGCTGATTTCCTCACAGAGCTGAAGCCCTTCCTATAAAAACCTTTGGCTTCAAACCAAGCAATCAGCCAGGATTTGCCTCCTTTCTTTATAATTCCACAACTGTCCCCTCCTCATTTGTTTCCTTTGATTTCTCTCCCTTTCACATCTGCATTACTGCAGAGTACTTACTGAGATTTACGGCTATATCTCATCTGGCATACAGGTAATTCAATACACACTTGCTGGTCCAGTTTGAAAAGCAAACAGCTTCTCTCACCATTCTGCTTTAGGCTCAGCTACTTTAATTGCCTGGGACATACCATGCACAGGGTAAATATTTGGTCCCAGCTCTGAAGCTTTAAGCTCCCTCTTGCTCTCTGCATGCAAATTGGGATCTTGGCAGTGTTAGGGGATGCCCTTTCCCACACTGGAATGAGCGGGTTCACTTCTTCTATGATTCTATGAATTGGGTCATTGGTGA